GCTCGGCCGCCACGCCAGTGTGCAACACAGATCCCCGGGACGGCCTGGTGATGCACGCGCACGGCACAGGGGGGCGATAAATTTGCTAAATGAGCTGTGTGGCGGCCACTTCATCCATTCCTGCAGTCCCCCCGACCATTCATTAAATAAATAATTCAAGGAGGAAACTAAAATTTAGCTTCAGCTTAAACAGAATTTACAGTGTTGGGCAGCACGGTGCAGGCAGTTTGTGTACACGAGGGATACCTCCCGCCTCTTCCGAGACCACAGTCACCGTCACCCGGTGCTGCTCTACACAAGACCCTCGCCCGGTCCGATGGCGGGAACGATGCCCGTGGGCCCAGGACCTGAAGCTGTGTTGGGAGAGTCTCCTCATGGGGGGCCGCTGTCCTCTGCTCAGCTTTGGTGGCACTGGGGACATGGTGGCCTTTGTCCCTGGGCCCCACGGCTGCAGGTAGCTGTTACCCTGGGAACTCAGCTGCGGCCCAGCCCTCTCCTCCCCTCCCCTCCCCTCCCCGGGTGATGTCATGCAGCAGCCAGCCACAGCCAGCAGGCCAGGGAAGCGCCCTCTGGGCTGGGCCCAAGGGAGGGAAGCCGAGCTGCAGTGCTTGTGGGCCCTTCCTAGGGGAACGGGGAGCGCCCCGGCTGGGAGAACGGAGAACCGAGCGAGAACCACTAGCCGGCTGGGCTGCCACCCCGGTGCAGACGTTAGAATGTACCATACCTGGCCCTGGAAACCCGAAGCCCTGTGGTCCCTTAGCCACCAGCTTCTGGGGCAGAGCAGCCAGGCCTGTGGCTGGCTCACCCTCCCTGTGTCTCCCGTCCCTGCCAGGTGGGCACTCACGCCCACGGTGGAGGGCAGGCGTTCACCCGCTGTCCCACAGTGGCAGATCCTGTCCACCCTTGGGACGGGCTGTCCTCGCTGTCCCCGTGTCTGGCCCTGCAGGCTCCACCACTGGACGTGCCCGCGACTTCCCCTTTTTATCTGGGTTGTCCTGTAAAAGCCCTCCCAGGCAGTACGGATTTTTCATTCAAGGGTCATACAAATTGTGAAGAGTTTAGGAGGCGAGAAGTACTCTCTGCCCAGCTGTTGAGCTCGTCTGCACACTGTGCCTTGTTCCCAGTGTTCAGGTTGCTCTCGGGACTCATTTCCCGTGGCCGGGACACTGCTCGTTCCAGGAGAGGAGCCTCGGGTCCTGCCTGGGACGGCGCTTCTGTCGCCTTCTCTCCTGGTGCTGGGGTGGACAGCAGCCTGCCACAGCCCCAGGATGCCGGCCCTTCTGTCCTCATCATGCCAGTGTTAGTCCCCTCCCCGTGCTGGGCTCTGCCCCGAAGAATTCAATGAATCTAAGTTCCTGGGATGGCAGATGTGAGGGCCACCAGGTTCTTCCATTAAGAAGCAGAACTAGGGCTGGGGATGTAGCTCAGTGGTTCCGCCACCCGCCTCGCAAGTGCAAGGGCCCAAGTTCGATCCCCAGTACCAAAAAAAAGAAGCAGAACTGTTCCAGTCCACTGCATCTTTCCTTTTGCTTCAGGGGTTTTACCTTTCATAGTTAACATAATTTTCTAGTTATGGAGGCGGTTTGTGGTAAGAAATGTTAGGAAAAGCCCTAGCATTCACCAGCGGTAACTGGTTAGGTAGTCATGTTTAAAAAAACCCAAAACAGCTGGGCGTGGTGGCACACGCTTGTAATCCCAGCACTTGGGAGGCTGAGGCAGGAGGATTGCTGTGAGTTCCAGACCAGCCTAGGCTACATAGTGAGTTCCAGGTCAGTCTCAACTACATAGGGAGACCCTGTCTCAAACCAAAAAAAAAAACTGAAAACACACACACACACACACACACACACACACACACACGTATAGGGGCCAGGGATTTAGCTCAGTGGTACCACACTGTGCATTGCAAGCACAAGGTCCTGAGTTCGATCCCCAGTACAAAAGCCAAAACAAAAAAAAACCCAAAATACGTGTGTGTGTGTGTATTTTTTTCTCTGAACAACTTTAGGTTCACAGCACTGAGCACACAGTGCGAATTTCTGTATCCACCCCCATAGTGGTCCCCTCACTGCTCCTGGGGACAACCATAGCCACCCAGAGTCCAGCACGCTCCCCAGGGTCACTGTTGGACGTGTGTGGAATGATGCTGTAATACCACGGAGCGCTGTGCACGCATGACCCACGTGCGCCATGTAAGTCTTTTATTTGTATATTTGTTGTTTGGAGAGGCGTTATTTAGGTCAGGGTGGCCACCACGTCCGACTTGAACACTTTTATCTCTCCACTTTTAGTTACAGAGAAGGTGACTTGCCTTTATAATAAAAATAATTTTACAAGGCCGGGAATTTCTCTTGGTGCTGTGCCTGTCTGGCAAGTGCAAGGTCCCCAGTTCGATCCCCAGTACTGAAAAAAAAAATTTTTTTTTACAGAAGACATTACTTAGCCAGTCTCTCAAAAATAAATAAATAAAGCAAAACATAAGCAAAAACAGAAAAATCTGTGGCGCAGGCCCAGTGTTCCCAAATTTCACCCTACTCCATTTCACCCTGATTGCCCATGGTGGGATTGGAGGGTGGCTTAGAATTCTGCTCAGTTTAACTGTCCCAGGCCCCGCCCCTGTCGGTACCCCGAGTCCCACGTCAGGTGGGGGCGCTATAGA